TATTATTATTATTTTAATTATTAATTTTTTTAATTATATTTACTCATAATCCATTCATCTGTTCAAAGCTGAAGAATCAGAAAGAATTTAAGAAACTATAATCTAAAACATATTCACAAATATGGAGACTTAAATAAAGGTAAGAAGAAATTTTTTCAGAGCTATATATTTCTTCAATAATTTTTATTATGGCTATCAGACATTAGTATGCTTCTTCTAAATCTCATTCATTGATTGTTCTACAAACTAATAGGCTATATATTCAAATAAAATAAATAAGGATTTTTTTGTTTGTATTATATAACAGATCCTAGCAAATTGTGGTAGCATATATAAAGATAAAAGTCTTCTATTGATCTGCTATAAATCTTGAAAATTCTTCTTCAGTAGAGATTTTATAAGAGATTCTACTAATATCTAATGGTATATTGATTTTATCTGCTAATAGCTATATAGTTTTTAACTTTTCAGGAGTTAACCAATTACCTTTAATCTATTATTTAATTATGATCTATTTGGCTATTCTTAAAAAGAGGTAATGTATTGAGTCCACTACTAGAAATCTAACAGAATTGAAGTATAGAGGCCTATAGATTTCTAACCATCTGACAAGAGTATCAAAAACAAGCTGTTTTCTTTGATTAGCAGTTTTACAATTTTTCTAATTCATCATATCATTTCAGATAAGGTTGTGATCATATTCTACAAACCAGGAATCTATATTAGCAATACTACTATAATGAGGATAATTCCAAACATTATAATTAGCTCTTTTATAGCAGCAATGATATGCAGACTTAACTGAAATATGTCTACAAAGTTTCTTTGCTACAGATAAGTTACTAGAACAACAGATTACTATGCATCTGATTTTCTTGTCAGATAGAAACTCAAACATAGCCAATAGGTCTATCTCTTCCTAAAGTTCTATTAGCTAATTGATAATAGATACTAAGTAGTAATTTAATTGATGCTGTTTTGGTTCTGATGGTTTAGATATAATAGCTAATTTTATTATATTAGATGGTTTAAACCTTTTATACATAATAAATTAACATTATATTTAATATTATATTTGATTATGCTACTAGTCAAAAAAAGAAAAATAGATACTAAATTGTCAAACATTTGGTAGCTGAATATTTAACTGAATGTTTGACGATTTAGTATTAATTTTTCTTTTTTTGAATGTATAAAAAAAAAAATAAAATAAAAATAAATATAATAAATGTATAAAAAAAAAAAAAAATATTGAATGTACAAAAAAAATAATAAAAAATTAAAATAAAAAAAATATCTTTCTTGATATAAAAGATTATATATGATAGCATATATGACCTCTACACTATATTGAGAAGTTTCAAATAGTTGAAACTAATCTAAATTTATCATCAATTCTATATAGCTATTAGCTATTTCAGACCAAAAAAATAGTATTCCTTTATTATCAGAGAATGATTTCTATATTCTGCATCATAAATATCTGATAATTAGGCTTTGAAAAGTCGATAAACTCATCTTCTGCATGCTTCTTCAAATCCCAGTTGCTGGAATAGCTTTTGAAGCTATTGCTTAAAATTTATTATAGGTTAAGTTGATATCAGCTTCCTGATTACATCATCTTTTACTCTGACTTTTGTTGAAGGTATTGCGCTATATGGTATCTGTCTGCTGATATTCATATAGTTTAGAAACTCTACATGAGTACTATTAAGTATTTTCAGATTTTGTTTTGCCTTTTTTGTTATAATGTTTTTTAGATTATATAATTTACAACAAGATTTGCATGTAGCAAATTTTGTTATATGGTCAAATATACTAATAATATTTTTTGCTACATTAATTGAAGTAGGAAAACTATCATATTTTTTCTTGCTAATATTGGTTAACAAAAACTGAAAATATTTAAACAAAACATTAATGCTTGTATCAAAATGCTGATATCTTTGTTAGTAACAGAAAATTTATAATATAATTCATAGCATATCTTTATTAATATTTCAGATATTGGCTACTGGGCTATCATCTACATCAGATGTATCAAAATTTATTACATCCTCTTCTTCACTCTCTTTCTCAGTTTTATAATTTTTATTACTTCTTATGTTATCATTTTTATTGTTATTATCAGAAAAGAATAACAAATCTTTACTAGAATAAAACAAAGATAATTTTGCATTATAAAAATCTTTGGGTAGCTGCTTGACAAAGAACTGAAAATTTTCAGGCTGAGAAAGAGGTGAAAAATTGTATGTCTTATTATTTGATATTTTACTATCTGTTGAACCAATATTCTAACTCATAAAAGCAATATCCTAATCTATTAAAGCAACTTTATTTATCATATTTGAAGACCCTTTACTATTAGAGATATCTCCTAGCTGACATCTAATTTGCTGATTTGATATAATATATTTTTCTTTTATTTTAAGAGGTTTTTGTTCTTGTACTTCATGTTCTGCTTTAACTCTTAGATCTTTTTTTTGACTATTGCACATACTACAGAAATATAGCACTTTGTTATACTTACATTTTTTTGTTTGTAATACAGCAGGTTTTTTAACAATTTCTTTATTTTTTTTATAAGTCATAAAGAGATATTGATACTAAATAACAAATTAATAATATTGTGAAACAACACCTCTTAGCCTATTTATATTTGATTTATTAAGCTTAATAGTTTATACTTTGATACAAATATCTTTTTTAATACATGTATTGAATTGATGAAATTTATTAGAAGTTTATTTGTTTTGTTTTATTATTAACAGATTATTCAGTTTCTGAATACTATTCAA